TGTTTATTTCATCTTTAGCAGTAACTCCGTCCTTAAATATTACATCTAATCTATCGATTAATGTTTGATATTCTGCATCAGTCCACCTGCTTATATTATCAATATCTCTTATATTTTCTTTCTTTAAAAAATCATTATACTCCTTAGGATCTATATTATCACTTGCTCATTTTATAAAATGACGTCTTTGATCTCCAACTTCCATAAACTTTACAGTAACATCACCAACTCTTTGTTGCTCCTCTTTGATATCTTTTATATCTCTTGATAAATTTTTTATAATATTTGTTATTCCTTGCGTTGTTAACTCTGCTAATCTTCGCTCAAGTTCCAGCGGATTGTTTATCAATCGATTTGTTTCAGCTTGTCTAGCCGCAGGATCAGCTATATTTGCTGTAAGTGCCTCAATTAGTTTTCTTTTTTCTTCATCAGATCTAGTAACAAGTTTTGCAGCAGCTGCTTCCTGTTGTTCTTTAACAATTCCAACCAAGCCTTTTTCCTGCAGTTGTTTAAGTTCTTCTTCTGACAGTGGTTTAGTTTCAGGTTGTTTACCTAATAGTGCTTCAGTAACCGGCTTGAAAATTGTAGCTGTTGCTTCTGTAGCGGTTACTTGCCCACGTCGTGCTTGTTGTACTTTTTGCTTAAGCGATGTCTGAGATTGAGCAAGTTTTTTTAGATCTTCTATGTGTTGTCTGTATCTTGCTCGTTTGTCCATTATTATTATTATAAATTTTATAAAATTGAAACCTTTACTGTAAGTAAGTGTCAATACAACATCGAAACATTTTAGTTGGATCATTTGTAAGTTTATCAAATAAGAAAAAGTTGTATTTATCTTTTGTAGCATTATGGTAAAGTTCAATAAAATTATCTTTTGTAACGTCACCGCATTGTTCGCTTGCAATATTTCTAACGTCAACATTGTCCAGTCCTGGAAATAATATAAAACAACCCGTATTTCGCCGAATAAATCTGTCAACATTATAAAATCCTTGAGCGAGATAAACAGAATTACATTGTTTGTTACGTGACAGTGAGAAATACGATCTTATTTTATTCATCTCCATGTTATTTAGCGGAATATCGTCAAAAACTACTATCTTATGTTCATCTGCATCAAGTTGATTAACTGGAATAAGTTCTGGCTGCCTAATTATAAAAAAATCTTCACCAGCCTTAAGATCATCACGAAGCTTGTTATTATAATCGCTTAATAACTCATACTTATCTTGCTGTGGATTGATTGTGTAAATATAGACTCTATCGTAGTTAAAATTATTACCAAGAAGCAAGTTCATAAGCAAATTTGTTTTTCCTGATCCAGTTCGCCCAACAATAAGATAATGACAATCAGGAAGTTCTTTGTTATGTTTGTGTTTCACCAGCTTTTCTGTATCAAAGTTTAATATCGACGATTTTGCCATTTTATATAATATTAAACTAGTGTTGATAATTTTATCTAAGACAGTAAATAATGAGTTACAATACAAAATTTGGAACACTATCAGGAGATTTATCCACAAAAGATTACCAAGGTGACTTATCCAAATATGCAACTCTTGATCAGCTCAAAAATGAAATCAATAATTTACTAAATCTTACCAGTGTAGAACCAGATGAAGTCATTTTCCAGGACAAAGAAGGACGATTAAAAACGAGTGATGTAAAACTGCCAGATGTACTTGTACGAATTCCTAATCCGGTTGCTGATAATATCATGACTTTTAACAATCAAGGTAAGATACAAGATTCTGGTAGGTCAGTAATTGATTTTGTTAAAAAAGCTGGTGATTTATTTAATGGGAATATTGTTATGAACCAGAACAAGATTACAGATCTTGGATATCCAACTACAGATGGAGACGCTGTAACTAAGAAATATGTCGATGATCAGGACGTTCCAATCAGTAATGAAATAACAGCGCTCAAAAATGAATTTACCGGTCACGTAAAAACGTTTTTAAATTTTTGTAGAAACATAAACACGCTTAAAGATGTTTTTTTGGAAATCCATCAATTGTTAACATTACACTCGCTAATATTAACACAAAACTCAATGATATTAACACAAAAGTCAATGATATTATTAGTGGAATTCCTAATATTGTTGAGAAAACGAGTATGGTTAAAATTCCTCGCAAACAGATTAAAAATATTGTGTATACTGTTGATACTGGTTATACTGGGTGGACACCAAAAAATAATTCTATCAAATATATTGCAGAAGTTACTGGTGTGTATAGATTGTCAGTGCTTAGCAGTGCAAAGTTTAGAATATCTACCAAATATCTATTTCGTCATCCAAATGATGACTCATCTGGAGTATTATCTGTAATAATAAACCAAAATTCTGAAGAATTTGTACTTGAACCAGTTGATAAAACTTTAAAATTAGCAATTTTTCTCTGGTGTTTGGAATTTATAGCTGAACAACCAGCTCTTATTATGGATTAACCAAACATAGGACTATGTGAACTAATATTACAATGAAAAGAAGTATAGTTGATTTCAATCATATTTCAAAAGATATTCCAAAACAAGATGTAGACGCATTAATACAATACTATAAATATTATCATAAAAAACTTTGGTGCGTGAAAAAATGTTACAAATACTACAAGATCCTTCGAGTAATATCTTATCTACATTGTTAATGACCAGTTCTGGTATAATTTCAAGTGGGGTATCATTAAATCCTTTTTTGTTAATCATATCCGCTATTGGTGTTTCACTTACAGCGGCGTGTAAAAAAGTAGAACCAAGACTTTTGATAAAGAAGCACGGTTGTTTAACATCAATTAAAACTTACAAGAAACTACTTGATCATATCTGGTCTTACCTACGAGGAGTTAAATATAATATGGATGATTTATTACGTGAATTTCGTATTATTGACAATATGTTAACAGATATTCTACCAATGGGGGTTAGCAAATATAAAAAAAAATTATCCAAAAAAATATGAGTAACGTAAAAATTTATCTAAACTTAAGATATAACTAAAATAATATCACTTACCTTCATCATTTTCATTCTAATGCTAGTTTAATTTCCGCCTTGTTAACTGAAACGCTATAATGTACAGTTTAATTTTCATCCTGTTATCTGATAAAAACTTGTGGTAAAATCCATTTGCCGTCTTTAGAATAATCGTATTCCACGCATGCGCTGTTCTAACAAATTCGTCACTTCTGTATGACAGAGTTTATCTGGATAAATCATAGCATTCCAACACCTGTTGTTTTGTCTGGTTACAAAATATCTGTCTGTGTAGTAGTAGTAGTAGGAAACAAGGGGTTTGGTGGGGGAGGGGGAGTCAAAACCCTTGTTTCCTATTTTGGAAAAAGGGGTGGGGGATGATTTAGGACTATAATTTATACTTGTTTGGAGGGTAAAAAAAAAAGTGAGCTAAAACCCTCATTTCCCTATACTACTAAGAGAGAGAGAGATCTTTTGTTGTTGTTGTTAAATTTCATCAAGTTCAGTAAAGATGTTTGTGAAAAGTAGTTTGAGTGATTTTAGAGTGATTTTTCTGCTTTCCTTAACGTGGCTATGGAAAGCATCGTTTGTATCACTTAGAAGATTTTCAAGTCATGTCAACATCGGTCAATCTATTTTCAGCGATGTTTGAAAGTAATCAATGTTATATGTATGGCAGTCAGATTTGATGGTGGTTGAGTCTAAAAAGGCCTTCATGACAGGATGCTTTCTGACAAATCTCGACAAGTTCATGTTTTTCAAAGGTTATTCAAATAGGTTATTATTTTAGTAACGGGATTCAAATTTGACGCCAGTGAGCTTGATTTGCAAGATAGTCTATGTCAAGCTTTTCAAATTCTGTTAAAATGATTTTCTTTTTTTAGCAATGCAGACCATATTTTAGATCGGATGGACATTATTTTGAATAAATTTTAAGGACTTTGTGCTAGAATGCTGTCAAATTCTGTTCAGCATTTTTTGGAACTTGTTTAAAGATTTTCTACTTTTAGTAAAGACAACCAAATAAATTGTGGATCGATATACTTGGCATAAATTTGAAAGGCTTTTATATCGGAATGCTCCCTGCCATGTTTGGCTGAGACTGGTTCACTACTTGTAGCTTACATGGTCATATTAGCCTTCAACTTCTTCTCGAAAACTCTTAAGAGCATTGACCAAATTTGATGAAACTCATTCTAGCAATTATATATATATATATATATATATATATATATATATATATATATATATATATATATATATATATATATATATATATATATATATATATATTGATAATACAATATGAATATGTATAGATAAGAAATATGGTGATTATAACTTTGCTTGTTGCCCTTCAAATTAGTTACCATTTCTTATGGCAAACATTTCACTAACAGGTCTCATTTATATCACACTATTTGTAGGTAAAATTGAATTTGCAATACACTTATTGCAGAATGGAAGAGAATGCGCCATATGGAAATCAGATCTTCCAATGACTCTGGATCAATGTTGAAATATTTCAGGGATGACTTGAGATCATGACCCCTCTTTCAGTTTGCTGGAGACATTCTTTGTCTGTTACTTGTCTATCAACCTGGTGACATGGCCTGCCCACCTCTTATTTGCTTTAATCAGAATGTGGATGATTGGAATACCTGCTAATGTGAGAACCTCAGTACCTGTGACCTTGTCCGGCCATCTTATCCTCATTAGTTTCCTCAGGCAGTCCATGTGATAATGAATCAGCTTCTTGGCATGGATTCTACACACCATCCAGGTTTTGCATGCATTGGCAACTCATTGGATTTGTAGACCTTCAGTTTCGTTTGTAGACTGATGCTTCTGTGTTTGAATGACTTTGCATGTAATCTTCCTAAGACTATATTTACTTGGCAACTCTTGTGTTGGTTTCATAATTGATATGGACTGCATGTGACTTCATACTGCTGAGTCGTTGAACTTGTCCACTTCGTGAAAGGTTTGGCTATTCACTGTGATTGTAGGCCAAGTTCACAAACCATTCTGGTGGCTTAGTGGTTAGAGTGTGTGCTTCATATGCAGGTGGTCACGGGTTTGAACCCCAGCTGAGTTATACCAAAGACTTATAAAAACTGTACAAACAGCTGCCTCATCAGGCAATCTGCATTAAGAGGTTAAGTGTTAGGACTGATCAGCCTGGTATCAGGACAATGTGATTCGGTGGGACATGATGCTACATGTCTGTGTCATGATGCCTCATTGCTAGATATCACCATAAACTGCCACAATGCAATCATAGCAATATGACTGACAATTTTTTAAACACACATTAAAATTCCAAATAACACACACACACACACATTTACAAGATGTTGGCCTACACGGTCATCTAGATGTGTTTTAAAATAAGCATTGAAGACCACCATCACTGAGGTCTATGCTCTTTGGGAAGAGTCAAAGCTATAGTGGCCTATTCCTGTTAGTAACATTTTTAAACTGCATGCACTGTTGGTTTGCCAGGTCCCTGTATGATGCCAAGGGAAAAGTAGGGAAATGGCCAGGGATGGTTTTCAGCTGGCCATTACACAGGAATACATAGCTCATGGTATATATACATGTATGTGTATAAAATCAATTTTATATGAACAGATTTTGCCAATATGAAAAGCTTGTTCTATTGTACACAGCAGCCAGTTTCTGGAATGTAAGTATATGATAAATTTGCTGATATCATTAAGGACATTATTTGAATTCTTCAATGAAGGAGTCCTTTCTTATTTTGCTTGCAATAATATTTTGGGCAAATGCCAACCAGAGATTGAGATGGTAAAACAATAAAGTTGGCACTAACTTCAGCCTTGTATATTGCATGTGTCTTAAAAAATTCTCTGTAGACTTTTAAGATAACTTTTTTTAAAAATGTTTCCAATGTAGTACCAGGCTTACACACAAGTCACTGTCAAAACCTTCCATAAATTTGAGGCTGTAAATATAATTGGTTGAGGGATTAACTCTCAGTGAAAAAGTGTCTGCACAAGGCCAGTGGATGGCTGATCACCCATGCCAATGAAAAGCTAACCGCATAGTGTCAGCTCAATTTCTGTTAGCTCAGGAAAGCAGTGGGATCACTAGATGATCTTGCCCTTCAGATGGTTCAAAAGACAAATAATAACAAATACAGTCTATACTGAATCTGCAGTGAGCTTTTTTATGAACCACAAGTGGGCTTTTGCTCTTCCTGACCTGCAAACTACCTTTTCGTTCTTCATCAACAGTGACTAAAGGCTGTACCTTGTGTACATCAGACTATTCATTCTTCATGGTTGTGTAAAGTTCATCCTGGACAAGTGTAAACTGTTTTATGAAGATGGAACTGTCACACAGTGCCTTAAATATGCAGTTTGTGATCGCGATGAGCAAAAGTTCAGCCAAGAAGTGAATTTCATTGTACTTTTTAGCTTTAGATCATCTTACATATCAGTATGTTTCACATAGTTCCCAATAAATTCCAAATTTTTTCCAGGTTTTTTTCCAGGATGAAATTTATTTTTTCAAGATTCATGAAACAAATGGAATTAAAGAACATTTAGCTTATAAAATGTGCTTTTTTAAATAGAAAAATATTTATATTTTATGCCTTTCCCATAACAAACTGAATAAGACATATAATAAACAAAAGTCTTACGTTAATACAGTAATATATATATATATATATATATATATATATATATATATATATATATATATATATATATATATATATATATATATATATATATACTATTCTGCATTTTAAATCATTTCAATTAAAAGAATATACCAGTTAACTTTGCTGAACTGCATTTTGAAGGTATAAAATGAACAACTGAAATTAGTTTAGTTTTGCTTTCAAACTTTTAATTTTAAAACCTCAGACTAATCAGTTGAAAATCATGATAGCAATGTCCCAAGTAGAATAGGGACAACATTCGTCCCATTTCCTCAGTGACCCATTTTAAATCTGACACCAAAATTTCAAGTTGCATGTTACACAGCATACCAATGTTCTGCTCCAGGAATCAACTGTTTAGACTACATAAAATCAGATTTATTACTCTGTATAAGGAACGGAAATTCTTTGTTTAATCTGAGTTTTCTATGACCCTTTCCATCCCATATTTTTTACATATGGTCATTTTTGTTGGGCTGTGGGGTCAGAGTCAAATCCATCACTGTGCCATGGTGACACAGGGTAGCCCCTAGCACATTTAAACGATGCTACATCAGGTCACACCTGCATGAAAATGATAGAAAACTGATTTTAAGAAATATTTTGAGTATTATAATCATTAGGTTTTTAATCCACTGACAGGTGTTAAAAAAAACCAGTGCTGAAGAAATTTGACCAGGTACTTACCATTTTCATTGCTAGTAGCATGACTACGGTAAACAACTCTTACATCCTACTTCACAGGTCTAATAGTCATATGATATCAATTATAAACTCCAAGAGAATCAAAAATATTAAATGAAAGTCACACTCTTTGCAGCAACTAAAGAGGACACATAATTTTTAATGTTATTTTCCAAGAACAATGATCAGAAACCTGTCACTGCAATCTGAACATTGGCAGATTTATTAAATTTTACATATCAGTGCAATAGTCACATGATACATAAAAACTATCACTGACATGTGTTCTGTTCTTGTTGATCATTTTCCAAGTTGTTACAACAGCAGTAGATTTCAAGTAGTTGTTCTCTAAATAAATTTGTAAAGAATTATGTCACCATTTTTTTACAAATTGTATGTGACTGTCATTTAATATTATTAAATTCTTATACAACAATATTAGCACTATTTTTTGTGGTCATGGGATGTGACTATTAGACATCTGATGTTATGGTTATGTAGGTTGTGAAGTCATGTGACTAGCAATGGAAATGGCAAGCACCAGGTAAAATATTATTGATATCATTCATTAGCTTAAAGACATGGCAGTTCTAATACAATTTCTTATAAAATAAATCATTTACCTTTCTATTTCATACAGGTGTGACTCAATGTAATGTCATTTTTGTTTGCTAGGACCACTGGTAAGTAGCTATCATATACTGTTTTTGCACAGTGGTAGTGAATTTCAACTTTCCAATATGCAATTGTCACTGACCCCACACCCCATTATAAATGTACAGATATCAAAAGGAAGGTGGGAAGAGTCAAAAGAAACTCAGAATACCTACCTTCCAACATTACCGCTGGACTTGTTCATGATCGTGCTAGCATAAATCTAATCAGTTAAGTGTTTAAATTGACTATACAAATATGTTTATGACAAGCACCTATATGATCTACACCACAACCTCAATATAGTCTAGTCAAAACTCAATAAAATTAACTTATGGGTCAATTACTTAACTGTTTCTGTCTTCAAGTGGTGGCCAAACATTCCTGAGTTTTTTCCCACATTCATCAATATTAGCAAAATTCAAGAACTTTTCAGTTTGGAAAAATATATAGATTCTCCTGATTTTTTTCCCGCCTTATTTCCTGGTAGTGTAGAAAACCTGGTGAATTAATGGTTAATTCTAGGACTGACTCCATAGTACAAAGATTCTGAATTCTCCTCATTGTGCTCAACTTTACTGATTTTTACACCTCTGTGTAATTAGTGTTCATCAATAACATTTTTGCATTATTAACTTTTTATGCATTTAAAAAAATACAGCATAACTATGAACATTTTTTTTAGCAGATTCATGGATGACCAAATGTATGTAAACTGTGCTTCATGATTTATCATGAAATATACTTCTCTAAATATCTGATAATTTTACAAAAACATTCCATTAAACTCATTATTGTTATTTACTGTTCATATTTATAAATATTTTATGGACATATTATCTTTATCAAGTGGTGGACATACAATCGACTTTAAATGCTAGAGCGAAGGTACTATTGCAAGAAAACACTACATAAAAAATACAGCAATTTAAGTTTATTTTGTAATGTTTTTAAAGCTTTTATGACTTTCACAACTTGGTAAAAAAAAAAAAAACCTGGAAAAGTTTCACTAATGAATTTATGAGTATTGGTGCAAAATATGAAATTTGCAAAGCAAAAGTTTGATACGGTGGTTTATAGAACAGGGTATATATGGAACAAGTGACAACTAAATAATATCTTAGATTATATTAAATTCCTTTACCATTCATAAAGCCAAGAAAAGATACAAGTCCCTATACACAAACCCTTTAGAAAAGGGAACTAACTCCCTCAGAACATAAATGAAAGACTGCCACCACTAAGTTAAAGATATGCAATAAACTATTGATTGCTACTTTTACTTTTCTCTTCCATGTCACTTGACATGGTTAAAACATTAAGCTGTACAACAATGGGCTGAACAGTAGCATCAACTTCCTAATCTTTTGCAATTTACATAATAAGTGAAGAAATGTTACCGCCCTTGATTTCAAAATCTACAAGTGCTATGGTATAGTTTATATATTTAGCATTGGTGTTTTTCAGATTAAATTGACCAGCAAATCTGTCTGTGAAAACTGAAGTAAAAAACTAAATTTATCAAAAGATATTTTCAAGGACATAACTCAATGATGCACAAATATAATTTCTGCTAATCATTTCATATTATAAACTGCCATTTTTTGTCACCCACTGATATAAAATCCAATATCCATTCCATTAAACTTCAACATTTTGCCTTTTGGGATGAACTAAACAATTAAACCTAAACTAGCAATAACACTATTATTGTATTTAGTACAGCAAAGATGGACTTTTCTGAGCTTGTGTCTTAGAAAAATTTATTCTGCACTCCAAGGAAAGTCATTTCCTTTAACTCCATTTAAATGTATTTCATGGGAAACTAGTACAAAAATTTATTGAAAATATTATCAGAAATTTTTTTTTGTTTTCTTAATCCACAAAATGAACCATTTCAACATTCTGAGGAAATATGAACATTTTGCAGCCTTCCCTGTCCAAAACGCACAACAGACCATCAGCATGTCTAGATAAAAAAGCAATTTTGCTTTTAACTTGTCTCTATCGAATTTTGCCTCACACTGCCATAGAAGACAGAAATATTCAGACACATTATCCTGTAT